GGGGTGGGGCACGGGGCGAGGAGGGGGAGTGGCGTGGTGGGACGGGGTGGGGTAAGGGTGCCCCGCCCCGAACCCGCCCCATTGTCTTCACTAACCTAGCGAAATCTTCCTCCACATGCTTAATAAGTGTGTGAATCGGGTTTGCCTCATAATTCTCATAGGCTTGGATAACCGTTGCCCTATGGTTTAGAAAAACAATCCTACTAGCCATTGTCTTCCTAGCGGTCTCTCTAGTTCTAGCAATGTGCCACATACAAGCCAAGTTCAATTATGCTTAATATTTTATTAATGATAACACTTTGTCTTTTATGTTTGCATAATTCATTTTAGGGATAAAATAAAATATTATACTTCTATCGAAATTTGATTTAAAATATGCGATTTTTTTTTATAAGTGGTAACAAATATATTTAATATCACGCTGACAATTTATACTAGAATATGACATTTCATATCATTTCAACCATTTCTATGAGAATGCATATGCTCAAAATTTAAATAATCATTTTACATACTTTCGGTCTGTTAGATGATAGTTGGTTGATGAATGCTAGGTGCCAAGAACCTTGTTCAAATTCATGTTTGTTAACTAATAGTATCTTATCATATAGTTTAATAATTCATTTTTTTTTTTTTGGCCTTTATCTTGATGATTTGAATAACGAGCAACTAAAAGACTTTCAGGAGAGGAGGGGGTCACCAGCGGACCACTTAAATCTCAAGCTCGCCTTAGATAGTTTAGGTATTTTTGACAAAGTCTTTCAATCTTGCGATATGGAAATCAAGAAAACTACTAAATTGTATTTTGAAATCAATTTTCCTGAAAATATTGTTATTATAATTTACCATTATTATTATTATTTTAAACAAACATTACGTGAAGAAACAGCTAACCATTTAGGTATGTATTACGCATAACATTTAAAAAAATTTAATATTACATCATCATTTTCATTTGATTTTTTTTCGAAAATTATTTCAATTACAAGGCGCACATAAATTATTCTTTGGTAAGGAAGGTGTAAGTTATTTAAGGGCAAGATAGTGATAATTTATTAAATAGTAAATCATTAGAGTCAAAATTGTGCTAGTTACCTAAATTGCATTATTGATTCATCAATTGACTCCATTTCTTTTCTATTGTCCATATATGAAGTCGACAGTGAAAGCATTAATAACATTAGAAAACAGAGACTGAAAAGTTACATTTTTTTTCACTGTTCATTCGTGAACAGTGACATTTCAAAAAAAAAAATCTTTTGTTTTTTTTTTCATAGTCTACGGAGAAGTAAACTGGTGCTCTGATGCCATAATGTAACGCCCCAAATTTAATTGGCTTAAATTTTTGGGTGTTGCCTATATCATTTCATAACAATATTCGAAATGGAAATATATAGCCTCCGTTTGATCCACATTATTATCTCATTAAAATGAAAATATGACCGTTATCCATCACATCATTAAATTCAAATTTTCTATCTCTTGTGTGGACCCCAATAACAACTATATTTTTCAT